TGTACAATCGTGATTTCAAGAGGATATTTCAATAATATGAAAACAATTTAAAACTGCAGTAAATATAACTTAATTGTACAGAAACCACCTGAGGTAATGAAGGATGTTTAAAATCCGCAGAACACCAGGATAGAAACAATACACTCCATCATCCAATATTTACAGCAACCCCCCACCCCCCCCTCGACACTTGACGTAAACCAATACGTCATCAGTAGTCTCGGGCTTTATGACATGAATTACAGACGGTCTAGTAGACTCTGACCTCATTCCAAGGTCACATCCCGACATATAGCAGGACTTATGATTGCCACATACTGAGTACATGTATTCATATTACAAGATTAGATTTTGTACCCAAACGTTTGACCCTTAACTTGTTCTGGCAAGTATATATAGGTCATTCCATGAACTTTACTGTTCATATGTGCTTAATTTGTGGTTTGTTAATTTTGTCAAATTAGTCCATTTAGTTCAACAGATAACCCTGGAGACTGATGGAACTATGTCCTCACCTAATGTTTGAAAACATCAAAATGAGAAGAGAACAATTTCATAATACTTGATATGGTCGATCTAATTTCAGTAAAAACATCTCGGAGGAATTTAGCTATGAGACTAAACAGATCTACTCAAATGTATAGAAATAGAACTCGGTCGCTTTTCACGTCCAAAACCTCACTTACTTCATCGTATTTGCAAATACTGTGATACACGAGTGGAGGATGAAGTTCACTTTTTAACTAAATGTCAATTCTATTGTGACATAAGATTTTCATTGTGGGCACAGGTCAACTTGACCCGCTATTCCCATATATGTCACCAATTGACCCGATATCCATAATGTAGAATCATCTGCTAATTTCTCGCCGCAGCTGCTACTTTTATGTTTAATCGCAGAAAATTTACTGCGCAATAGAATATTTTTCAAATTTTATAATGATTATATTACATATTGTAGCACTTACGTGCTTTTATTATGAATATATTTGTATTCTGGTGTCTCGTAGGCCATGTTTGGCCGCACAATGTACATTGATGAAGGTTTTGTATTATCTTGTACGTATGGACATTATGTGACACCGTAATATAATAATCTTCTTCTGTATCGTGTTTCTGATCGGACAAACATTCCTTTTGATTCAGGATAATTGATAAACGCTGTAGTCACGTTAGAGCGAGTCACCCGAGATATCCACGTGAATGACCTTGCGCCTTCATATCTGAATGACTCTGTACCTGAACAGGCCACGATGCGATAAAAGGTTTAGAAACCAACATGGCACTTAAGATAAATCACACGTCTACTCCAGTGTACAATCAGTGTACGGTGTATGATGTCATCTTTTTTCCTGGTAACCTTGTCAAATACTCTTAGCACGTAGACAGATAAACAGAAATTGTATGTGAGTCTCATCCCGTACAATAAAAGCAATATAACAATCAATTAAAAGGTTGACGAGCCACCCATTCATGACATTCATCCCCAACACATTCAGTGGCCCAGTCGTCTAAGGCGCCGCGATTCGCTGTGCAGAGTTGCGTCCCTTGGGCACGCCAGAAACCTATGATTGTGGGTTCGAATCTCGGTTCGCCCCAATTATGTTTCTAGGTTTGTCAGCTCCATACCCGTGCTCGTGGGTTTCACCGAAGTGGTAAATGTCTGAGACCTGCATCACTTCGGGCTTTCCTCCCACATTAAGCTGACACGCCGCGATATGTCTGGAATACTGTTAAAAGCGGCGTTAAACCCAACTCACTCACTCACTCACTCATTCAGACGGAAAATGTGTATAGCGGCCTGTCTCATCACATCTTCCCGAGGCAAGGGCTTTAACTGACTATAGACGTCCAGTTTCCAAACTGGACTTTTATAGTCAGTGTGCGCACTTGCTTCGGGAAGATGGTCTCAACACGTTGTGGGGGAGACTCCACATCGAAATAGGACCAGAGCACGTTGGTGGGACTGGTGTAGGATCTCTGTATATACGTCTATTAAGGGCACTATAAACTGGGAATAGAGTCATTACCTGTTTCCTTCGTTTACTGTATTCTTGATTCAATATTGCATGCCATTCCTGTGTAAAATTGTGCACAATTCTGGTCCCAACTTCTTATAAAACGAATATAAAAAATGTTTTCAGGAGAAAAACAATGTGATAATCCTAAACTTCTGAACTTTTTTTCTACACGTAGATTCCAGTTGCGCTTGTTTGATATAGCATTTGTACTTGCCCACTTGGAAACTTTAAGAAACCAACATTCTTCCATATTCGAACCGATGGCTCTCATCCATTATCGCCTGCAACTGCACTATTGGTGTAAACTTCGTCATCCCCATAAATATACCATAGCTCGGTTGTGCTCAGCGTTCACGGCCGGTATATGCTTTGTTTGTTTATTTGTTTGTTGTTTAACGCCGCACTCGGAAATATTCCAGCTATATGACGGCGGTCTGTAAATAATCGAGTCTGGACCACACAACCCAGTCATTGACGCCATGAGCATGGATCCACGTAATTGGGATACGATGACATGCATCAACCAAGTAAGCGAGCCTGACCTCTCGATCCCGACAAGTATAGTCGCCTTTTACGGCAAGCATGGGCTGCTGAAGAGCTACTCTATCCCGGGTCTTCACGGATGGCTGGTATATGCAATGCTCTCCATATTGCAGCATCGTAATCGATAGTTGCCCTCAATCTCAAAGATCTTTGTTTAGCGGCAGTGAGAACTTCGATCTGATTTTAATGAGATTGTAGTTGCCCACATCACGGAATCGTGGAGTTTTGTAAAGGGTCTATACTGAATTCCTCCTAGAATTTAACTTTTGGATACAAGAAGTCCTAGGGATCTACTGGCTAATATCATCGGCGTATGCGAGAACACCGACACACTTGTCAATGTGCACTCCGATCTACGTGACATTCAGTGTAGATATGAAATCGTTTATATACAAATTAAACGGAAGAGGTGAAAGTAGGCATCCCTGTCGTCGTCCAGTTTACGTTGAACCAAGGCGTGGAGAACCCATTACTCCGGATACACGACTGAACACCTCTCTATAGTGATACGATTGCATTAACTATCTTCCCTTCAATTCCAATATCCCACAGCCTGTTCCACAAAATACCTTTGTTTAAACAGTCAGAAGCTTTCTTAAAATCAACAAATGCAAGAAAGGTCTGTCTCCCCATACTCTTCAAGTTTCTATTGTTGACAGTAGATACATGCACTGTGGTCGACTTCCCTTAACGAAAGCTGTTTTGTTCATTACACAAAATCTCATCATTTTCCTCATGTTCAGTTGGTCTGCTGTTTAAAATCCAGAAAATAAAGTTTATAAGAAGAGCTTGGTAACATGGATCGATGCTCATGACGTCAATCAATGGACTGTCTGGTCCAGACTCGATTATTAACAGTCACTGTTATATAGGTGGAATATTGCTGAGTGCAGCATTAAACAAAATCACAGCTTGACAGCTTAATGTGGGAGGAAAGTCTGTTACACAGCTACGAACTAGATATTTACCATTTTTGAGAAATAGAGGCACATGACCTCATTGAAAACAAGTCTGGGATTCCAACTAATGATCATCAAACTTCATTTACTTGATACATCATTGAAAGAGTGGGTGAGAGAATGAGTATTGTTTTATGCTGCCTTAATAAACATTTCAGCAATATCACAGTGACCAACACCTCCAAATGGGCACAACACATTGTTGCAATGTAGGGAACAAAACCCAGGCCTTTGGTCTGATGCGTGAATATTTTAGGGGTAAAAACAAGTACCATCTTGTAACGCATGACACGACCGAGGATCGAACCATGGACCTTCCGCTCTCAGGGATGAGACACTCTACCACTAGACCAAAGGACTCCTAATACGAGGTCTGGTAAAAAAGTTCAAAGTCTGAATAATTTTTAACTATGGGCCATAACAAAGTGAACTAGTCAATGTAGTACATTGTTTGAGGAGTTCATTGTAAGTGTATTTGGTCTGTTGAGGCCGTTTGTATATTAGTGACAGCCAGTTGAACCTGATATGGGTCCAAATTGACACAGACATGGAAAAGAATGAGTACCAAGCAGTCATCAAGTCATCAAGTATTTTACTTTAGAGAAAAGTACTCCCTAAGAAATTCATGACCGCATGTCACAAGTGTATGGGGATAAGTGTCCTAGCTATTCCAATGTTAAATGTTGAGCAGCTATATTTAAGGCTGGAAGAACAAACCTTGATGATGACCCCAGGTCTAGATGTCCCTCAACTTCCATCAATGAAGATTCAATCATGGGGGATTGAAAAATGTTTTCTGTCAGATAGACGTATTACCATTGCTTAACTTGAGGAAGACACAGGTCTAAGCCATGGATCAATTAAAACTAATGTTCATGAACATTTACAGATGAATAAGATATCTCGCGTTGGCTGCCAAAGTTTCAAAATTCTGATCTTAAGGAAAAAAGAACTGTCATTGCCAGAGAAAATTTAATTGAGGAGGATTTTGTCAAATTCAAAAAGAGATTAGTAACGAGTGATGAAACATGGGTATACTACTATTACTTAGCAAGTCAAGTGCCGGTGCCTAATATGCTGATTTGCTTCATCGCCGGAGAGATTCTATGAAAGAAAAGCGGCAAGGAATGCTGACTGCTGGAGTTCATGACAATGCCTCTTCTCACACCTCACAACGATGACCTCAAAGAATGGGTTTTTCAGGGTGGCTTCAGAAAACTCCTTCCTGACTAGAATTGAAAAGCTTCACTATCGATATGAGAATGTATTGAAAAGCAGGGAGATCACGTTGAAAAATAAAATTAAAAACACTTTCACAATTGTTGGTTTTGCTTGTTAGGCTTAGAACTTTTTGACCAGCGCTCGTACAGCATATCTTGTATTGGCACACTGCTTGTTTCATATTTCAGTAAACCTGTGCTTTTATTATCTCCATGACTTCTGAGTCTACAAGGTGAGAAACGACAAAACACAAGCATTCAGATTATACTGCATTCATCTCCAACTATATAGCCATGATAACACCACATGACAATGCTACGTGGGAAAACATTAACATACTCTTGAACTTCTTGACTTCAGCTTGCATATGCCACTCTTCACACTTCAAAATTGTGTTAATCTCAGTGTAAATAATATCATAACAATTGGTCAATCTTAAAATAACTGCTTCATGAAATTATATCTCACAAATAACACATATATCAACTTTCAAACTCCAACAAAAGACGTAAATGCTGTATCAGATTGGTCAGGCCATCGAGGTAGTTGCTGTCCTCCACTGGAGTGGGAAACACATGGGCAAAATCAATCATTCTCACATCAATCTTTGGCAACGTTTCAGAACAAGTAGCTGACTGACAGTTTGATTCAGAAGAACCCTGGTTTTTGGATGTCGGTGACACGGTGGTATTACAGGTTTTTGACTGTGAGGATGAACTGGATTGACCAGATGAAGTGTCTTTGTCACAGATAAATGCTTCGTACACTATTAACAAAGAGCTTCCATAGAATGAGTATTGTCTTTGTGAGGAAAACCAATATTGCAAGTCAAGGAGCTTGGATAATAATATCTCTATCACATCCTTTCGAATGGCCTTGGGATAGCCAAAGAATTTTCCTATACCTGAAACATAAAAAACAAAGTGTACTTATTCAACATACTGAAACAATACTGGTGATCCGGAGGTCCAACCTTTCAGACAATTACTGCTGGAACAACTATCAAATAAAAGGGATATTAACATGTACCAGTTCAGTATTCCGGACAATGACACCAAGAACAGGGTTTCAGTGTAGATACTTCAAGGCTTTATCAGACAATTGCTACTGACTTGGCGCCAAATGTTGGCCTCTGTGCAGGTCTAGCTTAACCCTGTACAGGGATATACTTTTGCATCTCTTTTTTTCTTGTCCAGTGGACTCTCGGTAGTGCTGAAGGTGGGGGCGGGGGCGGGGGCGGGGGCGGGGGCGGGGGCGGGGGTGTTCTTCATATATAGAGAACAAAGTGATTGCTAAACTAACAAGACACTTTGGATTCATGTGGTCATGCCATGTTACAACCAGAATGGTGAACATTTTCACAAGATATGATTGTAAGATATCTCCAATGACCAAAAATGACTCCAAACATGGAGGGCCTTTCACTCACCTTCACTTATCATGTTATCTGTGGTCAGTTTGTGTCCGGCTATCTTGTCCACTCTCTCATACTGACCAGTGTCAGGCTGATATATCTGGAACAAATGAACCAGTGAGAAGACATTAACATTGTTGACACTGTCCATACAAGCAGTGTTCGAGATAAGCACCTGCCTGCAGGCCCGTGGCAGGTAGATCTTGTGTCGGGCCAGTAGTTTCGAGTTTGTATGGGTCCTTGTGGCCTGCACTAAGTATGTGTCAATTTATTTGCCACAATAAGCTTCAGTTTTTTTAAAAGTGATCCTGAAGAGTTTAGTCAGGGCCTGCAGGTTCTAATATCTGTGGGTCCTGATGGCAGCCCCGCATTTTGTTTTATTTCGAACACTGTGCAAGTACATTACAGCGAACTGATAGAAAACACTTTTTTTACACACCATGGGATCGAAAAAAGGCCTAACTTTGACAGGGTCAAAACATTTGTTAGGTTTGAAACAAAGGTACAGGTCAGTCTGGTCATTTGGACAACACACATTATCCCCAATATGTCTCCTCACCATCATTCCTGAGATCTGGAAGCCCAGTATAGCGGCACTAGGACACTTGGACTTCTCGTACGCTGCCTTCTCTGGCGTGGCATGAGGGTCGGACGTCACCTTCCCCATCTTCACATCAGCTATACAGGGCTGTGTGTAGTGCTCCACAATATTCTCAAGCTTCAGAAACCCTACTGAAACAATATTCAACCACGTCATTTAAAATGAAATGTACAAATAGTGCACAGCAATCGAGGTCACCTAGTCATGTAGTCCAACAGTTTCCAATACTGTAAATCGTGAAATTAATGCGTCTCCAAAAAGAAATTTGATCATTGGTCCCTAGCCAAAAATGCAACTCAATCTGAATCCCCCCTCCTCTCTTGCATCAGTGGATTTATATCAAAAGAAAACATCCTCTGTCAGGTTTACAGGAGAATCCTCACCTTAATCCAACCTTGCATTAATCCAATCACACACCAAATAACACCGCTTATTAGTGCTGAGTAGAGATTTCTGCTAAAACAATACATGCGTGCTGGCTCGTGTCGGCCTTTGATGCAACAAAGACACCGTGTTGCTGCGTGGGTGGCATCTGTCTGGACTTGCAAGTGTGATCAGTGATGACATATGTGAGTAGAACTCTTGTGTTGATCCAAGCAGTGACAATTCACAGGATGTGATTAGTGTCTGAATGACATTGTTTATATACTTCTGACAAGGCTGCTCAATAACCAGTGATGTGGAATACATAGTTGTTTGTTTTCAGCATATGTCTAAGTTGGTATTTCTGCTATCCAAAATGTCTTATTGTTGATATAAATGCAATGTTGAATTTTGCATTTTTCGCCTTTATTTCACGCTCGCGTTAATTTTCAGATTTAAAGTATTGATATAGGTAGACACTTCACATTGTTCAGGGTACAGGAACAATTTATGACAAATGAATTCAAATAGAAAGCTTGGAGTTGAATGCGGAGCATAAAGCTTTGGGCAAACATGAATCAACTTAAAGATTTTATTTTAAGTACATAAGTTTTCACCTTTCTGAATGTGGATTTGTTTTCAGAATAAAATCACAACAATTTGTCAACAAACAATGATATCTCCTTTAGAAAGAACATGTAAGTCATTGGTAGAAACAAACAGGTTTGATCCACTAGTCCTTATAATGATAACATATAGCAAAACCCTTAAAAAGGAACATTTCTACCAGTCCTTATGATACCTTAAATATTGGGCAGCATGGCAAGGACTTCAGGACTAGTGCCAATTTCTAATGCTGTAAGTTTTACCAGAACAGCAGTGTCATCAGTTGTTTAGCAGAGCCCAGAATACAAGTACCGGTACATTAGGATAGAATACTAGAGTATCAGATGTACTGCAGCTCACCTTCATTCAGTGATATAAAACTCCAGTGGTGAGTATGTGCTAATCAAGCTGATCTGTTCTGAAACCACACTGTCCACAGTTGGGTGTGATACAATGTCGTTGAGATGATTCAAGTTCTAAACACAAGAACACAAACAGTTGATATGACTGGTAGTTACCTCCATCAAACTCCATCGTGCCATGGTAGGCTGGCATGAACCTCCGGAGAGCCATGGTGACCTCATCAGTATTGGTGGGGGAGAAGACTCGTTGGTAGAACTGTAGCTCTCTTGTTCCCCGGGGTGGATCCTGCAGTGCCTTCAGAATCAGTCCCGCCCCGAGGTGCAGCATTCCTACACAACACAACACAGATGTCAGTGAGGTGCAGCATTCCTACACAACACAGATGTCAGTGAGGTGCAGCATTCCTACACAACACAACACAGATGTCAGTGAGGTGCAGCATTCCTACACAACACAGATGTCAGTGAGGTGCAGCATTCCTACACAACACTGATGTCAGTGAGGTGCAGCATTCCTACACAACACAGATGTCAGTGAGGTGCAGCATTCCTACACAACACAACACAGATGTCAGTGAGGTGCAGCATTCCTACACAACACAGATGTCAGTGAGTTGCAGCATTCCTACACAACACTGATGTCAGTGAGGTGCAGCATTCCTACACAACACAACACAGATGTCAGTGAGTTGCAGCATTCCTACACAACACTGATGTCAGTGAGGTGCAGCATTCCTACACAACACAACACAGATGTCAGTGAGGTGCAGCATTCCTACACAACACAGATGTCAGTGAGGTGCAGCATTCCTACACAACACAACACAGATGTCAGTGAGGTGCAGCATTCCTACACAACACAACACAGATGTCAGTGAGGTGCAGCATTCCTACACAACACAACACAGATGTCAGTGAGGTGCAGCATTCCTACACAACACAGATGTCAGTGAGTTGCAGCATTCCTACACAACACTGATGTCAGTGAGGTGCAGCATTCCTACACAACACAGATGTCAGTGAGGTGCAGCATTCCTACACATCACAGATGTCAGTGAGGTGCAGCATTCCTACACAACACAGATGTCAGTGAGGTGCAGCATTCCTACACATCACTGATGTCAGTGAGGTGCAGCATTCCTACACAACACAGATGTCAGTGAGGTGCAGCATTCCTACACAACACAACACAGATGTCAGTGAGGTGCAGCATTCCTACACAACACAGATGTCAGTGAGGTGCAGCATTCCTACACAACACAGATGTCAGTGAGGTGCAGCCTTCCTACACAACACTGATGTCAGTGAGGTGCAGCATTCCTACACAACACAGATGTCAGTGAGGTGCAGCATTCCTACACAACACAGATGTCAGTGAGGTGCAGCATTCCTACACAACACAGATGTCAGTGAGGTGCAGCATTCCTACACAACACAGATGTCAGTGAGGTGCAGCATTCCTACACAACACAACACAGATGTCAGTGAGGTGCAGCATTCCTACACAACACAGATGTCAGTGAGGTGCAGCATTCCTACACAACACTGATGTCAGTGAGGTGCAGCATTCCTACACAACACTGATGTCAGTGAGGTGCAGCATTCCTACACAACACAGATGTCAGTGAGGTGCAGCATTCCTACACAACACAACACAGATGTCAGTGAGGTGTAGCATTCCTACACAACACAGATATCAGTGTGGTGCAGCATTCCTACACAACACATCACAGATGTCAGTGAGGTGCAGCATTCCTACACAACACAGATGTCAGTGAGGTGCAGCATTCCTACACAACACTGATGTCAGTGAGGTGCAGCATTCCTACACAACACAGATGTCAGTGAGGTGCAGCATTCCTACACAACACAGATGTCAGTGAGGTGCAGCATTCCTACACAACACAACACAGATGTCAGTGAGGTGCAGCATTCCTACACAACACAGATGTCAGTGAGGTGCAGCATTCCTACACAACACAACACAGATGTCAGTGAGGTGCAGCATTCCTACACAACACAGATGTCAGTGAGGTGTAGCATTCCTACAGAACACTGATGTCAGTGAGGTGCAGCATTCCTACACTACACAACACAGATGTCAGTGAGGTGCAGCATTCCTACACAACACAACACAGATATCAGTGTGGTGCAGCATTCCTACACAACACAACACAGATGTCAGTGAGGTGCAGCATTCCTACACAACACAGATGTCAGTGAGGTGTAGCATTCCTACAGAACACTGATGTCAGTGAGGTGCAGCATTCCTACACTACACAGATGTCAGTGAGGTGCAGCATTCCTACACAACACAGATGTCAGTGAGGTGCAGCATTCCTACACAACACAACACAGATGTCAGTGAGGTGCAGCATTCCTATACAACACAACACAACACAGATATCAGTGAGGTGCAGCATTCCTACACAACACAACACAACACAGATATCAGTGAGGTGCAGCATTCCTTTGGTGGCACAAGCGCAGACAATTCTACATGATGTGAGAAGTGTCATAGCAGTCCTTCATAGTCATATGGGTATGGGGTTCCAAGCAGTTGCTTTGTCAAAAGGTCGGTGGGGTAGCCTCATGGTTAAAGCATTGTCTCGTCATGCCGAAGACTGGGGCTCGCTTTCCCACATGGGTAAAATTAGTGAAGCCGATTTCTGGTGTCCTCCACAATGATATTGCTGGAATATTGCTAAAAGTAAACCAATTTGGGTGGGCTTATGATCATCATTCAGCTCTTATCATTTTGTGTAGGTTTTACTTATTTCAATGCTGATCAGAAGAATATTTCAACTTAAATTCTAAAAAGGTGTACTCCCAAGGGAGATGAGAATGAAATCGAGTGCACAGTGATCCACTGACTGGGATAATAATGGTGGTGTGCTTTGAGCATGCCTGTGTGGCGCAATATAAATGTCATTATTCTTATTCTTATTGTTGTTATTATTCTTAATGTTGTTAAATGTTATAAAACTTAATTTGATCATTTTGTGCAGTATATTGTATGCTTAATCATGTTATTAAATGTCAGTTTTTGAAGATATATGCAATGCTAACTACTGTGAACCAAGTTATTTTCATGCATTTGAGTGATGTTGGTTAATATTTGAGATTAGTATTCACTCCATGAATGATCAGTATTCACTACATAAATGATCAGTATTCGCTACATGAATGACTGAAGGTATACTGTATTTCTATAGTCTAGAGTATCCCTGTACAATTAGCAATTCCCTGGTTCAAATGTACAATTCATCATCCTACAGATGATAAACATGGACTTGGAGCTCATTTTGTTCAGCTTGTTTTTCGCACATGTACAGTGTTAGCAGGAACACATTTAGAAGATTCCAAATAATAGAACTGTTAAAAATCTGGTGAATGTGTCATGGTACGATCGCTACATACCATACATATATGCAAAATTATTTCAAACTTTTTTTTAACAAACTTCCCAGTGGAGGGAAGAACAAAAGTAAATCAGATCAAAGAATCACTATCAGACTTAAAGGATAGATTTATTGATTTCCATAACCTGATCAAACCTAATTTTGTTTTTTCAATTTATACCCACTTTCAACAAGGCTGAGAAACAACTCTTCTTTTTGTGCATGCCACACAAATTTGCAGAGGCACTGGCAGATCCTCTGTGTGAATGTGTGTGTGTGTGTGTGTGTGTGTGTGTGTGTGTGTGTGTGTGCGTGTGTGTGTGTGTGTGTGCGTGTGTTTACATGCCAACTGTGTCCATGGTATCACGTGCAGCCACCCACCCTTCAAAATCCTGTTTCCGCCTCCGAGAGGCACTTCACCATGGTCACCATGGCCTTGGACCATCTCTTTATACTTCACGACACAGCTGCGTGGCCAAGAGGTCATGTGTTTACAGATCTCTTCATACTGGGCCAATTTGTATACACATCTCGTAAGAAATAAACCTCGAAGATTGTGAACTGTCAAGTCCTGCATAAATCTATAGCCACAGTCAGCAATATTCCAGCCATATCACGAGGACCTGTAGATAATCAAATCTGGACCAGGCAAACCAATGACTGAAAGCATGAGCAATGGTTAGCGCTTTCCGGGCACAATGACATTACCATACTACATCCCTGGTCCCTTTGTTGTGCGTAATTTGTAATGCTTTCTTGGATTTGACATCATTAAACTGGGAACTTCAGGATTACGTTCTGTACTGTAGCTTCATTGGAGTTGTCCCTAGTATCATGTTATGATACTTAAATAATCCAACTAACGATAATAATTATGCATTAGAGTGAGTGAGTTGGGTTTAACACCGCTTTTAACAGTATTCCAGTTATATCCCGGCGTGTCAGCTTAATGTGGGTGGAAAGCCTGAAGTGATGCAGGTCTCAGAAGTTTACCACTTCGGTGAAACCCACGAGCACAGGTATGGTGCTGACAAACCTAGAAACATAATCGGGGCGAACTGGGATTCGAACCCACAATCATAGGTTTCTGGCGTGCCCAAGGGACGCAACTCTGCAAAGCAAATCGCAGCGCCTTAGACGATTGGGCCACCCGTGCCCCTTTATGCATTAGAAGCCGGTCACCATTGATAACATTGCTACATACATACTGTCACAAGAAGTACTGTATACGAGTCATGACAGTCATCAGAGATCATGTATTACGTAAAATTATGGAACCAGGGTGGAACAAGGGTGTCAACATGCACCTAGTGCAAGTAAAATCAATGTCCTTAAATCGACCCAGCACACATATTTACCAAGTCTACCTTGTTTTTTGTCCTTCTTGCCATAGACATGTCCAGCAACCTGCATTGTAAAGGATGTCACTGTGACCTGGCTCTGGTCCTCGTCACCGTCACGTTTGCCAGCACCATGTTGCACACTGTTCCCAGTGGATAGCAGCATACTTTCTGAAATCCAATTTAAAAGCTTGACGCTGTAACTCACAAACATGTGCATGCACTCTTTATTGCTTTTAACACACTGTTTCTTTTTGTTTGTTTGTTGTTTAACGTCACATTTCAATTATATGACGGTGGTCTGTAAATAATCGAATCTGGAGCAGACAATCTAGTGATTCACATCATGAGCATCAACCAAGTAAGCGAGTGTGACCCGTTAGTCACCTTTTACGGCAAGCATGGGTTGCTGAGGACCTATTCTACCCCGGATCTTCACACAATTTTTCACAAACTGATGACCCAATTTCCTGAAAGATTAGAGACTAGCATGTCTGTTTAAAAAAACTTTCAAAGCAAACATCAGGGCTCTAAATTAACCATTTTTGCAAAGTGAGTGAGTACTGTCTAAAGCTGCAGTCATCAATCTGACCATGACAACATTGTTTCCAGGTTATTTGCATGTACATATGTGCACCTCCTTTTCCAAGAAGCTAAATCTTCTCTTACATCAGTTACGCTCATGATGTCAATCACTAGGATGTCTGGTCCAGATTCGATTATTTACAAACCGCCATCATTTAGCTTCAATATTGCTGAAATCTGCGTTAAACAACAAAGAAAGAAAGAAAAGTCTTACATTAGTTACAAGCAAGTCCTATTCTAAACTTGTCTCCATGATCATTTTGTAAGCAAATATCAAGTCAGGTTATATTTTCATCTCTGTTGGATAAAGGCTTAAAGTGAGTGAGTTGGGTTTAATGTTGCTTTAAACAGTATTCCAGTCATATCACAGCGTGTTAGTTCAATCACATTAAAATCATATCTTAGTTCTCGCTATCGCTAAACAAAGATCTGAGGATAGACCTTTCATCCAACTAATCAAAGCGTCGCTTACCAGATCATGAAAGTGACATTTGGAATGTGTTTTCTAATCATGCAACCTCGAAAACGTTAACACAGGGTATTCCGAATGAGTTACGGCCTGTACGACTGATTCTGTCAAAATTATCGTCTATCTCTCGTTTCCCTGGGATAAACATTTGAAAGGAGGAGACGTTGCACAGTACGTGGGAAGCACTGCCATACAATCTCAACCATATATTAGACATTCCGGAATGTTCGTTTGTTCAGTTTTCAATTTTTTTACCAAGAACTGTGTCAACATATTTTTCAAGCGTAGTCTGAAATGGAAGTCGCCAGGTTGAAACAAGTGCCGTAAAGCTCGAGAAAGCTGCTTTCTAACTCGCTGATGTCGACTTCTTGTTAGTCATTTCAATGGTCAGTCAAAGTTCATGAAAGATCCTCAGATCTTTGTTTAGCGGCAGCGAGAACTTAGATCTGATTTTAATGAGCTTAATGTTAGCTTAATGAGGGAGAAAAACCCAAAGTGATGTAGGTCTCAAACGTTTATCACTTTGGTGAAACTAGAAAGCCACAGGCATAGGTATGGTTTTGACAAACCTAGAAACATAATCTAGGATTCTAACCGCAAACTAGGGGTGGGGTACCGGGACGTAAAATTGGACCCCAGCCCTAGCACCTACCTACATATAACTTCAGACAAAGTCTAACACAGTGAACAGGACCTGTCCTGTTTCATCGCATGGAATAAATACTCTCAAATAAACAGCCCAATCGCCTCCTAAATGATTTTTATAAACATTGTCATTCATCAATAATATATTGTATATATGTTATATTTATTACTAACAGCATTAGATACACAGTATATAAATCAGGCTGCCTTTTCATAAGAGGGATTTGGGGTCTATTTAGACGGTATTTGAGGGTCAGCAGTGTGAACGCAAATAAAATCATATTTCGTATGCAGATTCAACATGGAAAATTTTTGTTGTTGTACATAAACATTTCCTTATATATTTTATTTGTTCAATATCTATTTATCTTCAAATCTGACCTTTTCTCAATGATTTTGTGATTTGTGATTTGTGGTATTATTGGGGATTAAGGGGTGACCAGTTGGATTCAAAGTAAACAAATAGAGCGGACGGGGCAGTACTCGGACAGTGGCAGTACCCGGACAACCAGCAAATTACAGTTGTCAGGAGTACTCACTCCTTTGATGACGGAAGGTTGCGTTTTAAATGTGACACCGTTCTTTACTGGTAGAATTACTCACAGCGTGCCTGTTAGGGGCGGGGGCCCCAAACTAGACTGTTTTTATTTATTGCGTATCAAGCCACAACGTCGTACTTTATTCAAAATAATAGAAAGACTGAATGAAACAGGATTCGATGGTGACAGCCTTTGGGTTAAGTGACTGAGAAGAAAACTAATGTCAGTATAAGAAAACACATGTATCTGTGTAGAGTGATGTCAAAATGAGAAGATAAGCCAATGAAGTTGTATTTATGTTGCTATTATTTTGATGTTCTCATTGACACAATGAAAAAAACACAATTGTAATTATGTCATATTCGGTTAAGACATTTTTTTTAAATTCTTAAAGTGCCCGGGCACTGCCGCAAGGGTGTCCGACTTCAACCGCAGGCGTCCGATTAATACCGAAGTAGTCGTCGAGTAAATATCCTAAGAATTTGCACGAGCACAAGCGCACGAACACGACCACTACCGAGTATAATCACCACAGCAGTTACCTCCCTTCACATATACGATGAAACAAAGTCAATAGGTACTTTGGTTCAACTTGCATGCCATTAGGAACGTTAAGTGTCCGAATACTGCCCCACCCGCTCTAGATGGTATTCGGGATTAAGGCGAGGGGGCGTGGCACCCTCATAAATCGTATTCTGCAATGAGACCCTGGCCAAAAGCTATGACTTCAGCAGAGTTTAGTAACTAAAAGTAAGAGAGTCCATTTTCTAGGCCACGACCGTTGTCACGGATGTGGTATTCATAAAAACAGGCTAAATATGGCCCAGTGAGCTCACTGACATTTCTCGCACCTGTTACAGTGTTAGGCCTACTTAGATCACCTGTGCAACCACGATCTGTGTGATGCATTGTTGTTGCAGTCAGCTGATAATCACACCCGTACTTCGTGGAATATTTTCCATACGACACATTCCTCAACACAAAATATTGATAAACTTGCTGCATCCATTACACTTCCGGAATAACCATGTGACTTGATCACATGACTACGATGACGAAGTGAATGAAGCGTTACTACAATCTACATATTTCGCAGTTTTACTTGGAAAATTTAAAGTTCAAAAGTCGAAATCAAATGAAGGGGTCAGAACATTAATATCCAAATTTTGTGATTTCGTATTAACCGTCGGAAAGGAAACAGTGTGGTCCACTCCATATAATAATACAGATATCAAATTCCCCTCTTCAGTGGCCCTAAATAAGCGTTAAAGTTGATATGTCAGAGGGAAAAGGTACATTATGTTCTTCATCATAAAACAATTAAATGGCACTAGGCTTTTTCGATTTTAACATACAGCCGAATTGGGTGGTGTACAGATAGTATATTAAAGTTTACAGGAATATTTCGTCAATCCATTGAACAGTTTCATCACAGTTAATGCAGTGTACGCATGTATCTTGTTTTAATGCTTCGTCACTCTCAAACTTGACATGACAATCTCAAGACAATTAACATTTAAATAGGCCCTTTTGTTCCTCGGTAATTTGTCCAGTAATAGGTCGTAAAATCACTTTAATTTTTATTTGCTTCCTATTCATATTATATTTGATTAATGAACGATGAAGCGTTAATCTCACGGAGTTAGCTTAATAAGGAATAGCTAGAAACAGTTTCAAATTCAACAATTTCTGATTATATTCACCAATAGGCCCTTTTGGTTCTGTTGTTTCGTAGCGTATTTTACAGAATGTAGGTTTTCCTTAAGCTCCATGGCTCCCTCATATTTTCAAACTTCTCCCAATAGAATATATTCATACAGTTATGTTTGTTTGTTGTTTAACGCCGTACTCAGCAATATTCCAGCTATATGACGGCGGTCTGTAAATAATCGAGTCTGGACCAGACATTCCAGTGATTGATATCATGAGCATCGATCCACGCAATTTGGACACGATGACATGCATTAACCAAGTCAGCGGTCCTGACCACCTCATACTATTATGAACAGAATTGCCTAAAGTTCAACGATATTAAAGGTAATAATAGTGTTTTATGGAGACACTTTGATTTCGATGCTATTTTGAGTGTGAAAGAAAACCAACTGAGGAGCTCACTTATCCTGTCAGATTTTATTAAATATAGGTTATACCTCTTTCCAGTTTGCTGTTATTAATATAGATAGCTTCTGGTTACCCATGTATTTCTTGCAAAAAATACGGTGTACTTAAATCTTACTGCTTTACCAGTTATATCATTGTCATTTCTGACACATATGCCAAACAAATGGAAATCATTACGGGAACGCGCTCTCAGAACCTAAAAGACATTGAATTACAAAACATTTCTTTGAAATTAGAACAACTCTCTGTCAGTTAAACAAATGGAACATGAAGCATGTTGGCCAAAGGCTTGTCACCTAAATTTAATGGACTAGATGCAGCTGGGATTAAATACAGAATTGCCTACGTCTACTGTACTTTGGATACTGTATACACTTTGGACACCGCCTTGGATTATTTTTACATTTTCTCTTGGTGATTCTAGGACAGGTTTATTAAAAGATTGCAAAACTCGAAAGTTGTTTCGAACTTATTGCTACGTTTCATGCTGTGTATTTTTGCAAGGTATACGCTAAATATGCATTGTGCAGAACTACTTCCACAGTGGGGAGTTCTTCAATTGACTGGCGCCGTCATGCGGCTGGAATATTGCCGGGTGCCGGAGTTAAACAACGAACAAGCAATTGAGCGGAAAATTGTTCAATTTATTGGCAGTTACTTTCATGTTCTTGACGCTTTGCTGCAGATGACATTATGGTTGAAGTTTAGGCTTATTACCGAGTTATCAAATTCCCTAATGCAGAATCACGTACATAATGGAATCTTGATCAATTGATTGGCAGTAACTTTCGTGTTCTTGATGCTCTGCTGCAGTTGGTATTATGTTTTATGTTTTTGACATAATGTTTTGCAAACTCAATGATTCATCAAATTCCACTGTGCAGAACCACAGTCTTTCAAATGATATTTTTCTCTTCACTTTATTGGCAGTTACTATAATCTTTGGACACTGAGTTTTCAAATTCACTGATGCAGAAGCAAAATGGAAATTGTTCATCGTTGACTGTGAAAATTGCTTGACAATAATTGTCATTCTTTTATATGATGTTGTACTTACCAACTTGATCTGGAGTGAATCTTTTCCAAGACTGAATGACCGCCTCTGTGGTCTAGTGGTAGAGCGTCCGCCCGGAGAGCGGAAGGTCCGAGGTTCGATTCCTGGCCGCTTCATACCAAAAGACGTTAAAAGATGGTACTTGTTGTAACCCTGTCTGGCGCTCGGCATTAAGGGGTTAAAACAAGGACTGATCGACTCGGAGTCAGTAAACTGTGTCTGAGTGTGGAATTCATGGTACATTGCGGTATGGTATCTCAGTTGGACATCCCTATAAATCGGCTTGAGTCCAGACTAGTACTAGCAGCCACACACACACACACGTGTATGCACGACGCTATATAAGTGCAATAATCTTAGACGCGAGGTCAAACTCAATTTCACCTCACCTCACCCGAGGGATTGAAAATGGATCATTGCAAAAAAAATGGGTTGATGTTGACCATTTTAAGTGCATCACCAGGTGACTTATATTCAAGTTTTAAATCTATGGAGTTGTGTTTTACGATATTGTACTCGTTCCTTTTGTAAAATCACAATTGGTTTCTTTATATATCACTTAAACATTGTTAATTTGTTCAGCAGTTAGTCTCAATTTGAGGACGAAAAGGTCCCATCGGTGGTTTAAGGCCATTTCGGTTCTTAGTTTAATTTTGATTGCAATTAACTTTTTGTTAAAAAATTGTCTCCACTAAAAATAATGATTTTTACACTTTGTAATGTCACCTCTATGTGCCCATATACTTTGAAAACCATGGCTTGATGCACTGTAATGGTGTACATTTTTGGCCTTTTTCTCAGAACTTACAAACTCGCCCCAGGGCCCTTTTTTGTTCTGACCCCTTCAAATATTGTAGAGCGTAAAAGAACTCTTGCTTTATAAAAGTTACTGCCAAGCAACCAGTTATCACCAACTCTCTGTTGTAGCGCGCACGTGATCGCATCTCCTTTTACATTTGCTCGTTTTCATTAGAAGAGAGAAATATTTATCCGAAAATTATTAACAAAATTCTTGTGAGGAAACATTAAAAAACACACCAAATAAGCACCTTGTTCAAAAACAACTTAAGAAAAGACACGCGGTAATTGTCAGGGGACTAATTCACGCGTGAACAAAAATACAATACTGAAACCTAATTGTCCTATTTTTCAAAAATTTCATAACCTGTATATATCACGAACTCCATAGCACAAAGTGTTAGGGACAAGCATGTCACGCAGAGTTCACTCTAGGAATTTTCTGACATGGGCCCTTTAAGTGAAAATTTCAAATATTCCAGAGGTACGCCCATACAGCACAATGATAAAATGCCCCATTGTATTTGAAAATGTGGACTTTTTTCAAATGTAGGCATTTTTTAAGTTTTGGCAACTTTGGGAAATTTCGAAACAATTTTGTGTGTGAGAGCACTAGGCCTAGTCAAGCGGGATCAGTAGCCATATCTATGCTTGTAGACCTCTGCGGCTTGAAACCTTTTAAAATAATTAAAATAGTTGGATTTGGCCGAAATATGTTTGAATTGTTACCTTGTTTCGTTTTGTCGCCGTGTGTACATCTGACTGCACTTCTTCACGTTATGACAGGACAGGCCGATAGTCAACAACGTCTGAACGTGGCCGTGACGTCTCATAGACTAGGGTAAGAGTAGCTTCCCTTTGACAAAGGACAGTTACTCTAGCGGACAGACCGATGGATTGTCGCGAAAGGCAAGTAAAAAGAATTGTTGTTTTGCGTATATGTTGCTTCGCCACTGTAAAAGAAACAGATTTTGGTTGGAACTATATTGGCTACTGTCACTGCCCGACTGACACATCACTTACCCTGTGACGTAAAAATATAGAATACTAAACGAGCTCCCGTGTAATACCAATTTTATGAAACGAGTGAATAGTTCTGGTATCTGACGAGCGAAAGCGAGTCAGATACCACAACTATTCACGAGTTTCATAAAATTGGTTTTACACGAGAGCGAGTTTAGTATTTTATTTAATACTTGTCATTTATAATGTTTTTAAAATTATACTGTTGAGTGTAAATAGGCTGACACCTACACGATCCATGGCATAATCCAATTGAGTTTAACAGAATAATACTTCAAACACGTCAAAAGTTGAAACGTATGAATTTAATATCATACAATGGTCCACCTTTAGAATTCAGGCGTTCGTCCCACAAAATTATCGTAGTGCTAAGGCTATCACAACTCACATAATTTAACTTAGACTAACGACTGTCGTTGCGCTAGAGTACGATCGCCTTGTGGAACGGGGCCTTGCACCTCAAAGTTTACAATCACGTCACAATACCCGATGACGTATATTTGTGGAATTTTGTTGCAAGATCCATCGGCGAAACAATGCCATGTGACGTCACCCTAGCAACAAGGTTGCTGGGGTCATCGAGTGTGCATAAGCTCCTCCCAGTGATCTATCATCTCCACACACAATGTCGTTGAATACGCCAAGGGATGTTGGGAGCTTTCAATATTTGTTCGTGAAACGTGTTCCGAGAGTACATAAGCACGCGTTTTGGTATTACACAATGTGTAATAAAGCTGTATGTTTATTAAACGGGTGATCTCTTCACGGGCAAGTAATAAATATAGAATACTAAACTCGCTCCCGTGTAATACCAATTTTATGAAACGAGTGAATAG